TAAAAAAAAAACAATTTCCGAATATTGGTGTGTCAGTTCCGTGTTCGTGACACCCCTGAATAAATCTATAAAATGAGGCGACAAACGAATATATTGTTTTTGATTATCTAAGTCAAAGAGAATATGTTCATGTTAAGTCTAGAAATTCTCGTTCATCAATTTTTTAATTGAATAAAAATCGAATATTTGTTTGGGTTCTAATCCATCAGAGATAAATTGAATAATTGTTATTTTTAATAATGATCAGTTGATTGTTCTAAAAGTCATTTTTTGTCATTATTAGTCTGAGGTGGTACTTCTACAGTCTTGAAAAGTTTTTCTCTTTATTTAACGTTTTATTGTTGATTAATTCTGAAAAAGATAACGGTCTAACCTTCGCAAAATCCGATGAAATTTCCGAAAGATTCTCTGAGTGATCGTCGTGAAAGATCTGTTTTCTAATAAAAAATGAAATAATTTTCTTTTAGTTATTAATTATACAAGTGGAGAAACAAAACGAGCTCGTACTGCTTATACTCGACATCAAGTATTAGGTTAACATTTATATAGATTTTTTTTTATTAAAGAAATTCTATAAAAAATTATTTTTGTTTTTTTTTTTTGTATGAATAGAATTAGAAAAAGAATTTCATTTTTCAAAATATTTATCTCGTCGAAGACGTATTGAAATAGCTCATTCACTTGTTTTAACCGAACGGTAAAATATCTTTTTTCTTTTTTCTTTTTTTTGTTTATTTGACTTTTTCTTTTCTACAGACAAATCAAAATTTGGTTTCAAAATAGGTTTGTTTTTATTATTTATTTTTATTTTGTAAAACAAAAGATTTTTGTTTTTGTTCTTATTGAATAGACGAATGAAATGGAAAAAAGATCATAAATTACCAAATACAAAATCAAAATTACCGGATACATATCCATCTGCAACAACATCATCACCTAATCTAATAAAAAAAGAAGAACAAGAACATCATATTGATACAATTGTAATGAGCGATTATATTAAAGAAGAATCATTTTCATCAACATCATCCAATTAAGATATTCGGTTGTTTTTTTTTCGAATCAATTTAAAACAAAAAAAAGAAAGAGCCAAAATAATGAATCTCATTCGAAGAATAAAACATTGTTTCAATTGATGATAAATGACAAATTGATTTCATTGATGTTTTTTTTTTTCATTTTTGTTTTGATTAGATAGAATTTCTATTTGTGAATAAAATACACGGTGTGACATATAACATGTTCAATATCTTGTTTTCGTTCAACTTCATCGTTTGATCATTGATAGAAAAAACCGAATCATTAATAATCTTTTTTTTTTTTTTTTCTTCTTATTGACGAAGAAGCATAGATCGATTGTAAGAACGTATGTTTATAGCGGCAAAAGATCATTTGTCTTCTTTGGCCGAACGGAGATTCTAATGAGTTTTTCTTTTAGTTATTCTAGACATGCAAGATTATACGAACTCATTTATCTAAATAGTTCTTGTCGTTACTCTTTTACCAATATAATCATTAGTCATTTCAGACAACACGAAATTCATAAGAAAGAAAAAAAAAACAACAATGAGAAAAAGAAAAAGTCCTATGACATGTTTCTCTATCTTGAACACGCATATGGAAATTATTGATTTATTTTATTTTAATATCATATTACCATTTTATTTTATAATTAATCATTACGTTTTTTTAAATCAATATTAATTATTATCTTTAACACTTTTTCTATTTATCATTTATCAATTTAAGAATTATTTATTCTTCTGTCAACTTGTTTTATATATACAACGACTCAAATAGATTTTTTTAAACAATATTCTCTATCGTCTATTGTCAATTAAAAGGTTAATTACTTTTTCCTTCCATTTGATTTTCGTCGATGAGAATAAAAAACTGTACAAAATGTTTCTGATTTCAATTGAATTTTCTTGGCAAACTTTTTCATTCAATTTATGTTTGTTTGCTTTAAGTACATTTACATTATCGAAATATCTTCGATATACTTACACTAAAGAATATTTTTTTTTATCTTATAGATTATTTCAAAAAGTTATATTTTAGAGAACGTCCATCAGGAGACCGAGTATACGAGCCAATCGATAACAACATTGATTTTGGATTTTTTTGCTCATTCAACGTATCAATGTCTAAAACCATGGACCCCAAAATTTGAGGTTCCAATATCTTTCCTTTGAAAAGTTAGCCGATACCAACTTGTGTCACAATCGTACCTTTTTATGAAAAAAAAAGAGAAAATTCCCTAGAAAAGTTGTTCCAGCTTGCGTTTCAACAGATGATTGAAATTCTTCATGATATATACCAAAAGATAGAGAATTAAAAGCTGAACAAAATGAGCTACATGGATGTAATATAATGTTTAGCAACTCATCTTTTATTAAGTCAACATGAGTCAAAAGGGATCTTTTTGATCAGTTCTAAAAAAAGCAATGTATCTTATGCTGTCTTTTAAGATTAGGAGACCCCAAGCTGAATTTTACATATGTTATGCAGTTTTTTTTTCTCTACAAAATGGTAAAAGAATATTCAAAAAAAAATTTCCTTTCGATGCGAAACAGGGTTTACACCTCCTAATTTTTGATGATTTTTTTACGGTTTTTCAACAGAAAATGAACATTCTTCGTAGTTTTCATTGTCGATACAGAATGCTAAACCAAAATAAACACGATATTCGGAATCAGCGTCAAAATCTGTATCTAATCACATTCTTTTTAGCGAAATTTTTTTCCTGTCCAAAATTAGCTTATGAGGGACTACGGAGAAAAATTTCTCTTAAACATAGCTGTGGGGGACCGGACCACAGACCAATTTTGGATAGGAAAAAAATTTCACTAAAACGTATATGATTAGATATAGTTTTTGATGCTGATTCCGAATATCGTATTTATTTTGATTTAGCGTTTTGTATTGGGAATGAAAATCACAAAAAATGTTCATTTTCTATTGAAAAATCGTAAAAAATCATCAAAAATTAGAAGGTATAAATTCTGACTTTCCGGTTAGTCGAGCAGAACCTAAGTAAAAGTAACGTTTCCACTCTACAATATATATTGCTTAGGACATATTGAGCTGGTAATGACTGCAACGAGTTTTTATTGATTGTGCTATAAAGCATAATAGTTGTTAGCATAGTGGAATTGCTATTTTGTCTCGTTATCAATAGGATTCGTTGTTTATAGTGACAATTGGTCGCAAGCTAATGCATAGCAGACTATTTTTTTCTTTGTTGGTCATTGGTATTCAGTGCGATGAATAGCCGTCAACGAACTATCTAGGAATAAAGTTGAAAAAAACACTTGAAATTAGTGCGCAAGTTTTATTCTTTCAGAGCAAAGACATCACCTGATAGCAGTAGGCTCACTAGAAGTTATGATTCCATTGCACTCGTTCACCGTAATTATACGGTTTTTCGAGTAGATGCGATTTGAATTGAACGGAACCGAACTCAAACCAAGTTTTTGAAGCTAAAGTCGAACAGAATCCGCAAACTCCGGTTTGTTTCGGGCTCTTTTTGAATTTTATTATGTGGATGGCTTTTTTTGTGAGCGAATTTGAAGATATTGTTGATTGTCTTGCTTTTTTGAGTAATGGCAATTTTTACCAAGGTTTTTAAAGAAAATCAAAGGTGTCCAATCGGTAAAACTTGAACAAGAAAATAACAAGTTTGAAAAGTCTAATTAAAAATCAGAAGTGTTTCAAACAGTTGATATTTTTCTCATATAAACTGCATTATCATTATTACTAAATTATTATTACCGATGAGATACTATTTCCTAACGTGTACCTCTGTTATCTAAGTCTTGAAAGTTAAACTCATTATTCATAAACAAAATACTATGGAAAAATCTTTCAAGAAATATCGAGACTCATTTACTCGACTCTTAAATATCGAATTAATTTGAGTTTATTTTGTTTGAAAAAGCAATCGAGAGAACGAAGCATGCTCTAACATTGTTCTTCTATTTTCTTCTCATTTAAATTCAATACCGAGCAACGCTGAAAATACCTTTGGAATTTTATTTTTTGGTATGTTTACTTAGGAAGTTTAGAATAGTGTTTTTTTCAAAATTCGAATCAATCATAACCATAAATGAAGCTTTGCAAGAGCTATCATATCGTTTACTTAGAGTTTTGTTTTAGCCATGTGATTGATTAGGAAATTGTTTTCTCGCAAAGATTCTTTCTGCAGGATTATTATTTTGATACAAAATGTAAAATTGAAAAAAAAAGTGAGTCGGTAGAAGCTTCGGGAAGTGAACGAAATACTGTTGAAATATATGTCTTCGATACAAGGTTTTTAGCTTTATGCAACAGTGTATTTTAGTCAGGGCTGATAGATTTTGAAGTGGCACTTAATGCTAATCAAATAATACATGTGTTGCAAACCATTTTGTTAAATAGTAATTGAAATGATTCTCTTGAACATAGAACAAATTTAATAAATAAATAAACAATTTTATGATTTGCTTCTGCACTCTCCGGGGATGATCTTTCAAAAACAGAAGCAACAACTCGAATCCAATCAATTGATATATTTACATGAGAAGTAAATAACAATAATTTTCTAAAAATTTTTCTATCGTTTATTAGCAATCATCAAATTTTCAATCAAGATAAATTTTCATGAGAAAATATATTCGTCGAATTATTTCATTTGAAATTGTTTTTTATTCGTTGTTTTTCTGTTAGGTATCCATCTTGCATACATTTGTCATATGTATTTTCTACGACATTAACTTCTATAGAAAGAGAATGTGGGTAGTCTGTCCTTTATTGTATCCACATTTACATCCTCATACGCACATACCCACACTCGCTGGATTTGACCAGCAAAAATCGGCTCGATTTCGAGGCCTGATTCACATCTACACTCTCAAATAAAAGCACACGTATTGTTCAAGAATAATTCATTATTTCGGAGAAAAATAAATTCAATCAATTTAAGTTCTGGAATAAAAGCAAGTCAATGTTATTCTCACGTGTCATCGAGTAGAATTCAATGAACTAGCGAAAAAAGTGTTCGCATTGTTATCTTCTTGTACATTAATGAATATTTGTCTGCATATAACGCATTTTGGCTGAGGAGTTTGTTGAATTTGATTAAGACATTGAACACATAGTGCCTTATGACCACATGGTTCAAAGCGTGCAAAGCGTGGTGCTTCTTCACATATAACACATGATGATTTTTCAATTGAATCGAGTTCATCTACGATTTCTTTGGCTGTTGGCCGTTGATTAGGATCTTTATTAACACATCGAGCAATTAATTGGCAGTATTTTTCAGGAACTTTTTTTCTATCAAGTAGATGTAACTGTTCATTGATATTATTCGACGGCGGAGTATAAACATCTTTTGGTGCACAAGCATACATGAGACGGCCAAGTAAGTGAACGTCTACTGCTGTACCTTGATATGAGTATTGACGAGCACTATCATTTGAGCTAGAATCTAATGTTTGAATGAGTTCTGGTGGTAGTGGAAGGAAACCAACTAACGTTGTGTTCTCTATTCCAACTTGACATGTACCAAAATCAGCTAAATAGACTTCATCTTCATCCATAAGAATATTTTCAACTTTGATGCCGCGATGAACAAGATCGTAAGCATGCAAATGTGCAATAACATTGGCAATATTACGTGAAATCTTTATAGCTTTATCTGCTGTTACTCGTTCCATATTTTCGACAAGAAATTTATGCAGATTGCTCCGATAACGAGGTAAGAGTAAATACAATGAAGAATTGTCGTCTTCATATAGATATTTTAAAGGTATCATGTGTGCAATGTTGAGATTGGTCAATGTTCGATGAAAATGAGCTTCTAAATAGGCAAAGTTTTGACCAATAATATGATTTTGTAGTTTCTTGGCGACTAATTCATGCTCATTGTCCCATGATGCTGGATGAACAGTGAAAAATCCACCACTACCTAAGACTTCTTCCTCATTTATATCTGGTCTAGATCCATGATGACTGGCTAAATTGAGATTTGCCTCTAAGCGGCACTCAATGCGAACAAAATGAGACGTGAAAGAGCGAGCTAGTTCATAGGCCCTGTGACGATCTTTGATGGTGCTGCAAACAATTTTGTGGTAATCATAGACTTTTTTTGTAAAGTTATTATGTTCGCGTTCGATCCATTCGAGCATGCTCTTCTTTATATGATCACCCATTTTACTCGTCATGTTTTCAAGATTGACAAAATACTGAGTAATACCTTGTTTACGACGATTGAATTCATTCTAAGCATTCTTACCACCTAGCATATGAATCAGAAGACCACCCACACCTGGAATAACTGAAACAACCAATGATGCGAGAAATATGGGGCTTAAGATCAATCCTCGGATTATATTAAACACAACTTGTCCGATAGGATTTTGGTTGATATCACCGATATTGCCGATGTCTATTAGTACATCTCGATAGGCTGAAAAGAGAAGTTCGTTTTTGTTCCGGTGATATGTGAAACTTTTGCTCACCAACTTCTGAATATCACAACTTTGTTGAGCAATAATTTCTAATAATACCGGCTTAGTCACTTCTCTTTCAACTAACATATCGATGAGAATTTGTTCGTCATTCTGATATTTGCGCTTTATGTTAATGATTCCTTGAAACAGACGTCTCATGGTATAGAAAATGTACGAACCCGGTATTTCAAGTCTTTCATCCCATTGAATTCCTCTTGTTTCACAATCTTTGATAGCTCTTGTTTCAATATCAGGACGCTTCTCACGAAAACGTTGTGGTAAACGTCGATTGGCTTCGTTGGCAATCTTATCAACGATGGATCTGTATTGCCTGAAGAAACTCTCACCCCATTCTATTGCATCATCACGTAATCTGTTCCACTCGACGAGTGAACGCCGATTTGTAACTAGAATAAAATCGAAGAATGCATCAATAGCAGTGTGTACAATATTGATGACGTATTTCGTTAGTCGCAAATCATGTTCGGCAGCAAAATGAATGATTCGATCGATTGCATGACGTTTCATTGCTTGTTCCATCGGATCGTTAGGTGCTACGTTTGAGAAAATATCGAATGAATAACATTTATTGAACGATGGTGCTTCATTGTGCTCAATTCGATGATGAACATCACCTTTCATTTCGTCAATTTTCATAAGAAAGTCGTAACAACGCAATCGTTCTCTGTTCAGCAGTATCTCATCATCATCATTATTGTTTGCGTCTCTACGTATGACAGCCACATCGGCTTTTGTATTGAGAAAGAAAATATCAGCACCCATGGAGTGACTATGAAGAGCAAGTTTAAGTTCTTCGTAGCATTTACGTGAATCATCAGACCCGGTTGGATTATCATGGAGAAAAACCAAGGTTGGATGAACACTGGCCACTAATGCAAGTAAATTCTCGCGTAGAATTGGTACATCCGATCCAAGAAAGCCTGGCGTATCGCAGACATGTATACCCAGTTCAAGAATTGGCGAAGGAATGCGAATTTCAATGAATGTCTTTGAGCATTGTTTGAATTCATCAGAATGTTCAGACATATTCATTGGTCGTCCCACATGGTTTTTGACCACTGTGCGGAGTGCTTTGGTACGAGCTTTGATACTCATGTCACTTTTGAAATATGTCGATAAATCAACTCGATCACCTATCTCCGTGTGATCCAGCATCGAGACATATTTAATCAGACACGCATTCTCTGATGGAGCATGTGGGAATTTGACGATGAGTGCGGTTACGGCACCCTTATCTACGGGTAAGAATTGGCCACATTCAAGCAGTTCATGTATGAAAGACGTTTTTCCTGATGAATTGTAGCCACATACGGCCAATTGAACTTGTTCCAATGGTTGAAATTCTTTCAAAATCGTTTTCGTCTCATCGTCGAGGAAAATATTGCCAACATTTTCGACTGTCTTCAAATGCTCATTCAGAGTGGTCACTTTCTCGAGAAAATTTTCTTGAACCTCGAGAAATTCTTTCACATAAGTTCGAGTTGATTGTTTAATACGGATTACTCGATTCGATAATCGATTTGATTTTGTCCGCTTTGGTCGCGTTTACTTGTGCCATTACTTTAATATAATTGAAAGAAAGATCAGAAGATAAAACTGATAAGAGGTATGTCACTTTATTTGCTCTTATCTATTGCACAGCATGATAACGAATTTCAAATCACAGGACAGCAATAGTTGTCGCTGCATGCTAGATGTCAACCATAGTCTTCCTTTTTCAATCATTTGAAAAACATTTCATAAAAACAATAATGATGTCAAAAATGAACAGTAAATTATATTCATTAGAAGATAAAAAGAACAAATTAATAATATCGAAGAATTTTACAAAAAAGAATGGTAACGAATTTCATATTAAAATTCTCGACCATCTATCTTTAAACGCAAAAAAAATGAATCTATATATATCTGATAGAAAAAGCTTTAGATATCTTTATTTTGATTATATTTTAAGAATAAATTTTCGGTACCTGTAAAAACTAAAGACACGGCCGGAGACCAATTATCGGCTGTACCTTTCATTTTCATTGGAAATATACTTGTTTCGGCTGGAGATGAACACCGATTCCAAGCTGCTCTCTCTTTATATATTTAGTATCGAAAGTGTGACTATCTATTATCAGTTATAATACTAGAAGCCAAAGCTAGTTAGTCAAATTTTAATGATTCAGCCTCTAAGTCGAATTCGTTTCCTATCACGTGAATCCAAAATCTTCCAATTTGATTCTGTATCTTCACCATTAAAGTGTTTTTACAATTTAGCTCTGACATTTGACGATTGACTTCAAATGTTTCTAACTAATAACAGATGCGCACACGTCCAATATTCTCTATATAGAAAGAGTACAGCTTAGAATCGGTGTTCATCTCCATCTGAAACAAGTATTTCCAACTACAAAATGAAAAGCACAGTCGAGAATTGGTGTGCATTTAACTTTTGTAGCGAGCTCTGATCATATAATGTAGTTGACACGGTGTCTGTTGGTTTGGGCAGTTTTTCGAGGTAGCCTAAAATATTCTGTACGATAACTAGCGTCATCTACCAAGTCATTTCAATATTTCCAAAAAATAATTATGATATTAAAATTTAGTTGTTAGATTGTTGAAAATTTTGTAAAATAAAGTTTTTAAATAAGATATTACGATGATTTCTAAATGAAATTTACCTGTTGGTTCTTATTATAAGCAATTGGCTTTTGAGAAAACAGAAATCAATAGTGATCATTTTTGTCATTGAATTTATGGCTTTCTCTTCTTAGATATGCAAAAAAACATCGAAATTTTGATAAATTTTTGTTAAAAGGTAAAGTTTTATTGAATAATTGTTTAATTAAAATCTAAAATATTTTAATATAAATAATAGATGTTATCATATCTTACTGATTTATTCTTATTCTCATGTTTATTATTGATTGTCAATGGTGCAGAAAAGAAATATGTCGATAAAGAAAATGTAAATATCATCTTTAAAAAAGAAATCAATCTTTGATTGTATTAATAATTAATTTTAGGTAACAGTTTATGTAAACAAAGTTGGACCTTATGGAAATCCTCAAGAAACGTATCATTATTATTCTCTTCCTGTTTGTCGTCCATCAATTGTAATTAATAAAAGAAAAAAAAAACTTGATTTTAAAATAAAATCATTCTATTAAATAGATTGTCTCAAAAGATCTGACTCTTGGAGAAGTTCTTTCTGGTGATCGAATGGCTCGTTCATTATATCATATTCAATTTAATGGTTTCGATTTTAATATTATTATTTAAATAAAAAAAAAACCAATACTTTATTTTAGAGGATATTAGTAATGAACAATTATGTTCATTAGTGTTAACATCAGATGGATTAAATAAATTAAAATTAGCTATTGAAGAATATTATTATTTTGAATTTGTTGTTGATGATGTTCCTATTCGTGGTTTTGTTGGATTAATTGAAGAAACAAATTTATTTCCACATAAACATCATATTTATATATACACACATCATCATTTTGATTTTTTTATTAATAATCAACAAGTAAAATAAAATAATTTAACAAAATAAGATAAATTTATTTTATATATTTAGATAATTTATGTAAATATAAGTACAAAAGAACATCCACCTGTATCATTAGATGATGAAGCAATTGTATCTATTAAACTTGAATTTACTTATTCAGCTAAATGGTATCAAACTGAGTAAGAACATGTTTTTTGGTTTTTTTTTATAATTCAATTTAAATATTGATTTTTATTTTTAAATAAAAGAACATCGTTCAAAGATCGAGCAAAATTTATAGCGAATACTGCTTTTTTTCCTAAAACACTTGAAGTATGTTTTGTTTTTTGTTTATTTTTTCAAAATAATAATTTCACGTGTTTTTTAAGATTCATTGGTTATCGGTTATTAATTCGATGATTCTCGTTTTTCTTCTCATCGTTTTTGTTATTATTATTCTTGTAAGTTTTTATTTTACTCTTAAAAATTCTATTCGAACAAAAGATTTACAGTTTTGTTTTTTACTTAACAATCAAATATACCACTTATTATTTTACGTTTTCGAGCGAATCCCACATTTCTCTCTCATTTTAAACGCTAGAAAGCTGACCTTGTTGTCAAAATGGAGGCACAAATTATCTCTACAAGTTAACAGAGCCGGATTCATAGATTTCTCATTAATGTTTATAGGAAGCTAACTGTTCTGGATCTACATCTCTTAGGTTTTTTCATATTTCATCAGAAAAGTTTTCTAAAAACACAAGTTAAGAGAATATCGAAAAATTGGACCCTGTTAAGTTGTATGCCACATCTTGGCTATATTTTAAAATCAGTCTGAACTTTCTAGCATTTGAAATAGCGGAGGAATTTCGAATCCACGGAAACTTAAATATTGACCCATAATCTTGAGGTAACCCTTCATAGAATCAATCTATTGGAACTGAAATTTTTACTGTGAGGTGTCTATCTCTACTGAAAATTTTATCAATATTAAATGCTCGAAAAAAAACGTTTCACTTTTGAGACGGTGGTCCTTTAATGGTCTACGAGATTTTTTACACAGATATTAGTAAAATATATGCGAACTGACATTGAACTCTTAAGATACAATCAATGAATATACACCTTGAAAATATTGATTGATGATAGACAATACCAAATCATTTTCTTTAAAAAGTCAAATATGATTTCGATGAGTGTATCCCAACTGAGGTTTATCATCAGCGGAGATTTCAACCAAGATCTTAGCGACTGATTATATATCTTAGAGTCAAACGGCGATTCGAATATGTTTGATCGGTTGTAACCCTCTTCGCCGAAAAGCATTTCGTCGAAAGACTTGTAGGACGCTTTGGACTGTTGTGAGTCCTTTAGTTCTTATATAGGCTTGCTCAGCATGAAGAGATCAACTCATTTTGCCCTCACACTCACCTTTGGAGCGTCCTCCGTGACCAAAAAATACTTTCGACGAAGTATGTTTCGGCGAAGAGCATATAGACCTGATAGATCAATAACACCAACATCCTACTGAATGACTCCTACAATAAGATTCTGTCTCTTTGTTAAATAGTAAAACCTTGCATTATTTTGACTAGTTAGAATCTACAATAGAAACCTTAGATAGATAAAAGACTTTCAAAGATTCTAGAAAGTTCAACAACAGTCTAAGCACTACTATTGTTAAAGTACTTTTTTCTCATTGCCAGGAAAACGTTCCTAATGATTATTGTCCTCTCTCTCCCTTCCCATTCCTATGACACGAGGAAAGTTCATAAAATAAAAAATTGAATATAATAATATAAATTAATTTAGTCTCGTATATTAAAAAACGATTTAAATCGAATTGGTGACGATGATGATGATGATCCTGTTGTCGAAGAAAATGGTTGGAAAATAATTCATACAGATGTATTTCGTTTTCCTGAATATCGTGAATTATTTAGTTCAATAATCGGTGTTGGTTCACAATTTTTATCAATATTTATTGGAATACTTTTATTTGCATTTGCTGGAATGTTTACTGTTCATCGTCATGGTTCATTAATAGCATCAGTTATTATATTATATGCATTAACATCATGCATAGCAGGTTTTGTTAGTGGAAGAATATATCGACAAATTCAAGGTCAATATTGGACATGGAATATAATATTAACAGCTAATCTTTTTACTATTCCATTTTTTCTTATTTGGTCAATTATAAATACATTTGCATGGGCACATGGTACAACACAAGCATTACCATATACAACTGTACTTATTCTTGCTATTATGTGGCTTTTTGGTAAAACATTTTCATTTAATTAAAAAGAAAAATTTTGTATATTTTTGTTGTTTGTAAATGATTTTAGTTGGATTTCCTTTGACAATTTTGGGTGGAATATTTGGTAAAAATTGTACATCAAATTTTGATTCACCATGTCGAACAAAAGCAATAGCACGTGAAATTCCTCAAGTATCATGGTATAGAACAAATATAATACGAATGTTAATTGGTGGTTTTTTACCATTTTCATCAATAAGTGTTGAACTTTATTATATATTTTCA